AGAACACGCCGAATAAATACTAATTCAGAAGTCAAACAACAAAAATTGTTGTTTGACTTCTGAATTAGTATTCAAATATTTGTTTAATTTATCCAAGTTAAATTTTAGAAACATTAGTAGCTTTCAGTAAGCATAAAATAAGCAATTATTAAAAAGTATCTAAGCTATTACACAATAAATGATATTTTTGTCTCATTTACATATATCTTTTTCAAGGCTTTTATTTTCTTTTCTAGATAGCTGCACCATCCCCATGTCCCCCTACATTTAAATACTAACCTCATTATATCTCACCCATACTATCAATAAACTTAGTAAGAATAATAAACAAAAAATAAAAATAGTTTTTAAACCATTAACCAGAAATTTATTGCACTTGCATCAAAATTAAGTAAATTCAAAACATAGAATTAAGCAGATTCATTAGAGAGGAAAATATAAAATTAAGCAAGCCATTATATAGGATTCCGAAAATTATTTAAATTGCTGACATTTTTTTCAAATTTCCTTCTAGCTTTAAGAAATGATAATTAACAGGCTAATGAATTCAAATATATCCTTTAATAATGTATAAAATTAACCTTCTTCAAAATGTTTTATTTTGTAAAAAAAAGTAGTATTTATTGCTTGTAAAAATATTAACTCTAAGTTAACATAAAATTAATTTTAAGTAATTTAAAATTAGATAATTAAAAATCACTCAGACTTCCATTCAGATAAACATAATTCAACAATTTATAAAATATTTAATGTATACAGTCAAAAGTCGTTAATTCGGACACCCATAATCCAGAATGATCTATAATTCGGACCTCAAAGCTACAAACTTTCTGCGCATGCGTCGTGTAATAGGCGTTTACGTGTGCGCGTAAGACCTTTACGGCTGCGAATATGCGTGTGCGCATGCGCATAAAACTTTTACGCATGCGCGTTTAATGTATAACGGACGGTATAAGCTAAGCTAAAATTATCTAATTCAGTTAATGTTGCAGATTGTGTTGTTCCTTAATCTTCGAATTGGATCCGGCTTATTATTTTTTGCAGACTGTTTAGAGCAATTTTATAAAAGTAAGCTTGAAACTTTCGATTATGATCAAATAGAATTTCCGATATATATTTACTAATATGTAAAGGATCTAAAGCGAATGTATGTTTCGAAATCCGAAATCTGTTTATCAATTTCACGCAGCTTCGGCGGGGGGAATGCCTCGGCGCGCAATGAATTTGGAAGTTGATCTGTCAGCACTATCCTTATCTTCAGGGCAGATGTTTTTATTTTATTTGGCTTATAATTCCTTAACTAAATGTAGTATTTCATCTCGATGTACTCCGTCTTTGATATGATTTAAAACAAGTTCCTCGTCATTATAATTCGTTTCCGATAGTGACACAGAGGTTATTGAAAACGAAAAAATTTCGATTGACAAATTAGTCGGTATTCTCGACACAGCAATTATAGGATTTGAATAGCGGAACTTTGTAACTAAACAAAAAATTATGTCTGTTTAATAGAATTAAAGAGAAAGTACTATCACATGAAACGAAGCAACTTAAACAACTTACATTGAAAGAAATGTTTAATAAAGTAAACAAATAAATACAGTCAAAAGTCGTTAATCCGGACTCGTCGGGACTTCGGCGATTCCGGATTATAGATCATCAGTTTAAATCTCGTAAGATGGCATGCAGAAATTCTAAAATTAAAAATATGAAACTGTAATTTATGAAATAAAGAACAATTATGATCTAAAGGGTATCAAAATTTACAAAAAAAAAAAAAAAAAAAAAGCTTAATATTTATTTGTTTACTTTATTAAACATTTCTTTCAATGTAAGTTGTTTAAGTTGCTTCATTTTATGTGATAATACTTTCTCTTTAATTCTCTAAACAGACATAATTTCTCGTTCAGTTACAAAGTTCCACTGTTCAAGTCCCGTTAATTGCTGTGCCGAGAATACCGACTAACTTGTCAATCGAAATTTTTTCGTTTTCACTAACCTCTCTGTCACATTCTTCATGTCTTTATCCATTTTTTGCAGCAATTCCACTTTTTGTTTGTTGGACATCGAAACATACTTTCGTTTTGTAGATCCTTTGGAAGTTCCAGCATAGGAAATTCTATTTGACATAATCGAAAGTTCAAGTTTACTTTTATAAAATTGCTCTTACAATCAGCAAAAAATAATAAGCGGGATCCAATTCGAAGATTAAGGAACAACGCAATCATTAACATTAACTGAAATAGATAATTAGATAATTTTAGCTTACACCGTCCGTTATACATTAAACGCGCAGGCGAAAACGTATTCTGCACTTGCGCACACGCATATGCGCAGTAGTCAAGGTCTTACGCGCACGCGCAAAACGGTTGTGTGCATGCGCAGAAAGTTTTTAGCTTTGAGGTCCGGATTATAGATCATTCTGGATTATGGGTGTCCGAATTAACGACTTTTGACTGTATTAAGCTTTTTCTTTTTGTAAATTTTGATACCCTTTAGATCATAATTGTTCTTTATTTCATAAATTAGTTTTATATTTTTAATTTTAATTTCTGCATGCTATCTTACCAGATTTAAACTGATGATCTATACTCCGGAATCGCCGAAGTCCCGACGAGTCCGGATTAACGACTTTTGACTGTATGGCCCACTAAAAAGTGAAGAAATTTAAACATATTTATTTAAAGTACCTCACACTCACTATATCTTGCATTATTTTATGCCCAAAGTAAATTATAGATAGCTATTTTCAACACAAAGACGCCGATGCACAGAGAATTTTAAAATAGAAAAAAAGTACAAGCTATACAAACGGAAAGGAAAATATAATTTTATGTATAAAAAAGATGCAACTACAAAAGCTTAACCTGTTAGTGTTTGATGATTCAGTTCTTTCTAAACATCCAAGGAAAAAAGAGAGAAAAATTTTTTGAGAATGTTAGTGGTGCTCAAAGCATCCCTTTGTAAAAACATATTGGTGGAGGCTCAGTAACGGAAAATGATTCCATAGCGATATTTGGGCTGCGTTTTCTACTTTCTGACCTTAAACTGGGGAAGGGGATCATGTCCACTCCTTCTATTTAATTCAGTGTTTTCTACAGATGCAAATAAAAACTGATCATAATGAAAAAACTGCACATATTAGTTTGGTCATTTTCATATCATTTTGGTCTAATCTAATCAAGATCCAGAACCAAAATGAATTTGAAATACTAACAGCAGGATTGCCTAAAATAATAGTACACTTATATGCGTAAGCTAAGGAAACAGGTGTTTGATGAGGGAATTAAAAAGGATTAAGATGATTTCATATGATTACAGGCAAAGCTCGCTGAGTGAGAAAGAATAAGTTTGACAATTCAGCCAGAGTTCCAAAGGCTATGAAACTTCTGGAACTGACAAAATTAAATCCTTTTGTCAACATATTACACAAACAAGATTTTGAAGTGAAGTTATAAATACCCTTTTATTTTCTGATTATATAAATTTTCTTTATATCCTGTTCAGTAAATTTTGAAATTATTTTTGTATATTGTATTTTCTTAGTGCCAAATTTATAATTGAAGAAACTATAATAACTAGATACACCCTTAGAATAAGTATAATTATTTTTTAATTGTATTGATATGTTCTTTTTGGGATAAACAACATTTGAATACTTATAAAATTATATTAATTTAAGTAAAGAAGCAATTAATTAGGCTGATTTCAAGAAACAGTCTGTGTGTTTAATAAGTACGCTAAGTAATCATAGAATATAGGATACATAATGTCTTGCATAATATGCAATGTTAAATATAATTTATCTTCCTTTTATCAGACATTAGAAAGCAGAAAAAAAAAAAAAAAAAATGATGTATAACATTTATAAGGATTCTGATTGTAAATATGATTATAGCTTTCAATTCTAATTCTCTTTCATTTTTAAAAATCAGTTAAATATAATTTCCATAAGCACTGATATGGTAATGTAGTGAAAGCCAATTTTAAAAATAATACGAATGATAGGCACTTTTCTGTTTTGCCGGCGCAGGCTTTAAAGTCGCCAATAATAGTACAACTGATGCCAAACATAATATCCTCACTGGTAACCTTTTACGCCTCATTTTCAAAACAAGTTGCAGCCATTTCTTAACAGATTGTTTCTTTCAATACTGGCATGCAGTTACATAAAAGTTTTACCAGATAGTTCAATTTTATGCCCTAAGGCAATTTGCAGTAATTAAGTCAATTAGGATGCCATCACAGTGCTCGTATCGTGAAAATACAGAAAAGGCAAAGTCAAGGGTTAAATTCATCCATTCTAATGAGAATGCACTTGCGAAGTAAAGCACTGCAGTTATATATAATTTCCGAGTAAGCTATTCATACGATTGAAATAATTCTTGCATTTAAACTTGTATTCCAAATTAAAATTTAACTTGAAATTTATGTAGATAATGTAACTTGAAATTAATTATGAGATCACTTGGGGTCACGTGATATGAAAAGGCAATTTAGGATGTTGAACCATGAAAGCATAGTAAATTCTTAAATTAATATCTTTTTACAAATTTCTTGTCTTTATTTATTGGCTTTTTATAAAATTTTAAAAAGGCGAATCAGGATGTTGAACCATGAAAGCGTAGTGCATTCTTAAATTAATATCTTTTTACAAATTTTTTGTCTTTTTACAAAATTTTGAACAGTATTAAAATATTTATGCCTTCAAAATAAAAAATTCTTAGAATCAGCATTTGTTAAAAATTTTTATGTGTATATTGTATGTTGTCGCCAATAAAGTCTGCTTGATGAGATTTGCGCCGGTGAAATGGAAAAGTACCGATTCATATATTTAACCATAAAACTATGCAAGATAAAATTAGAATCAACAATGTATGCAGAATCACATATGCAACAACTTAATGCATATTAAATATACTATGAATGGACTTTGTAATGTTTCGAGTTTAATATAATATTTATATCCTTTATCATATTTTCTATTAAAAATAACTTGATAAATATAAAAGCACTTTATTTAAAATCTACATACATTTATACAAATATAATAAATAATGTTATACTACAAGGAATTTCTATGTACAAAATTCTACATATAGCATTGAGGTTTCATATTTGATGACAGAACAGATTTTTCTAATACACTATAAGGCATTTGACTATTATGTTTTTCAACATCAGGTTGTCCTTTACTTAAGTAACTGCAAGAACAGCTTGTAACTACTAAGCACAATATAACAGCCACAACAGCAACTATGGCAATAGACATGTGAAAAGCAAGTGTATTATGAGATCGCTGGGATAGTCTTTCAACCCAAGATGACAGAGATGCATTTAATACTTCTTTAGTAAGAAGTAACATTGCTATTTGTTCTTTCACACAATCTAAATAATTATTAGCCAATTCTTTTTGTCCTTTTAAAGAACTACCAGAAAGAATGTCTTCAACAACTGCTGTCATCACCTTCTGAACTCCAGGCTCTTGCTCCTGAAGTTCCATCCATTTTGTACGAGCCCGTGGAGTAAAGTGGAAAGAAGCCTCCATTAGTTCTTCACTGCCAGTTCTTAATTTAAAAAACTCAGATTTATTAATAGGAATGTCAGATTTCACATATATTGTGCCAAGAGCAAGCTCACCAAATCTTTGTGCCATACCTCTTACAAATAAAGTATATGGTAAATTAGGTACAGGTAGATGCTGTCCTGTATAATCTAGTAAGAAACATCTTTGTAAAATCCAGTCGCATAAATCCAGATAAAATTTAACTGTAGATAAAGGATTAGACTTTGAATCAGAAATAGACTCTCTGAAAATAGTTAATCTCTCCTGCAGCGTATCCAACATTGAAATTATACTGGCTACCCAGCGATCCACGCTGTCTTCTTTTATCTTGCTCATCACACTGTTCGTAATTTTCCAAGTCACAATGATATTGTCCACATCAGATTTGTTTGTGGTTGATAACATCCAGTCCACAGTTGAAACTATGTAATTAAAAACAAAATTTCAATTAATGGGAGCATACTAACATTTAAAAACTTATGCTAACATATACATATCAAGAGCTTACCTTAATAAGACATTGGAAAATTTGCAAAATAATAAATTAATCTAAAATACTAAACCACATATAACGCTGGTCTGAATTTTAGCTGATATAATGATTTTAGAATAAACAATTCAATATAAATGATAAATATAAAATATTAATGAAAGTTAATACACAACTGATTTCCGAGCAAGATCAGAGATGAACCAAAAACATTCAACACATACAAGCAACTTATAAAGAAAATGCATATCTTGTTTTTGTTAGTTCAAAATCTACTTTATTTTCTTAAATTTAAACACATGTTTTCAAAACAAAAGAAATTCAGCTTACAACAGTTTAACTTAATGCAATGTTTACTGTATAAATGAACAAGAGAAATTTAACAATGTAGAAGATAATCTGCATGATAAAAAATATTTAGATTTCCTATTTATATTTTATCCATCCACTTGCTAGAAGAATAAGTTCACATCTAATTCTAGTACATATGATAATTTTAGAAAGCCATAGTTATAACATGAAATCTTAACATTCCAAGAACAGTGAATTATTAATTCTTCAGAATTTTATGCATGATTTAAAATCTCTATCTAATACTTGATAAATTGTAATAGAGAAAAACAAAGAAAATATGAATTACCTAATTCATGTCCAAGAGCAAATATTATTTTGCCAACATCTTCATGAGAATGGAAAACTCTAGTCGTTTCTTTCGCACAAGCTTCATCCTGGAAAACAATATGCAAATTATAGTCTGCAACAAAAATCTATTTACTGCCATATATAAAAATTTTTATAATTTCGACTCCTCAACCGGCATAACAAAATGACTAATAATAAATTTCCTAATCAGTTTCTAATTTAAGGAAAATTTGTGTTAACAAGTCATTCTTTAATACAACTAAAGTAATTAAGACACAATAACACGCCGAACAAATACCAATTCAGAAGTCAAGTCAAACAACAAAAATCAGTGCATATTTTCAAAATTTTTATCCTCAGCTATCCTCAGCTTAGGATAGTGGTTCGGTAAAACCATCGAAACTAGTCCTGTGAAAATTTTGAAAATATACGCTGATTTTTGTTGTTTGACTTCTGAACAACTAAAGTAGTTTTCAACTAAGATTCACTTTCTTTCTTCGACAATTAATAGTAAATTTAAGTGAATACCTGGACATTCAGAGTAAAATATTCATGATGCTTTCCCTCTCTTTCTTTCCTAGTTTATTTTTAAGGGTCTCGCATATCACGAGAAAAACACAAAATATCAATATTTTCATTGAAACTTTGCTTCAGATTTGTTACTTAGACTCAATTACAGTTCTTATCTTCACAAGATGGGAATTTAACTCCTTTCAGGATTGTAGTTATAAACCAATTAAAAGTGGGATAGCCTTTTCCACTAAAAAATAATTACCAAACTGCTACAACAAAACCTGCTGAAATGTAATGGTGAAAAAAATTACATAAAAAAATCAGTATTATTAATAAATTATAAACAAAACAACTCAGCAGTCTCAAAAATTTCATAAATAAATGACTAATTATTACTTATGAAAATATGATTGTTTAAATGAAAATACATATATATGCATTATACTGCATAAAATTTTTTCATTACCATTATAGCACATTTTTCATAATAAGATACTTATTCTATGCAGACATCTAAAACATATCATGTATGGCTTTCACACACACACAAAAAGTATTTACAAGTAAAATTATTTTTTTCTTGCAGAATTCAAGGCAAGTCTCCAAGGAGCCATGCCCTTGAACCTTGATAAAAAAAAGTACACCAGGGTCTAAGACTTAGATATATTGTGCTGCTAGACAGGATATATTGTGCTGCTAACAAACATTTACCATGTTTCTAAAAACATGGAACAAACATGGATTTGAAGAAAGGATGTTATTGGGGTTGCTTACCCTAGATCCAGGCTTTGTTAGGCATACACTGGTGTGCAAAAATTAAGGACGAGACGGTTTTTTCAATATAACTTTGTACAAAAGCTTTCCAAATCAACACATTTAATACCGTAAGATCCCCAATACGTAAGGACATGAGTAATGTAAGCAACACTTTACTAAAGAGAAATCAGAGGATAAAAAGAAGCTTTATTGAAAAGTAGCATGGAGCGCAATGCGACTGAAGGCCGAAACATCCCTGTGATGGGTGTCCAGCAAGAAACATCCGGTCATTAATAGGGGATATGATCTCCCCAGACTGCTAGGCAGGTTTCACAGCGTCTGCCCATGCTGAGAATGAGGGTGTCAATGAGTTGTTGAGGCATTGCTGCCCATTCGTCTTGCAGCGCAAATCGAAGCTCCGGAATCGTTACTGGTGATAAGGTACGAGCTGCCAAGCGTCTGCCTAGAAAATCCCATACATGCTCGATGGGATTGAGATCCGGAGATCGTGCCGGCCAATCCATAAGTTCAATATCCTCACTCTCTTAGAGCTGTTCGGAAGCTACTGTGCGATGACATGGTGCATTGCCGTCCATGAGAAGGAACTGCGGACCCATAGCGCCTCTAAAAAGACGCACATATGGAAGAAGAATCTCATTACAATAAGGGGTCCCGTTGACTGAACCTGCGTCGAAGATGTGAAGGTCTGTACGACTACCAAGCATGATGCCTCCCCAAACGAGAACACCGCCACCTCCATACCTGTCCCTTTCAATGATGTTCGAGGGATGATTGTGGCTTCCCCGCTCTCTCCAGATGAGTATGCGATGAGAATCGCTACTCAGACTGAATCTGCTCTCACCTGTAAAGAGTACTCGTCCCCATTCATTGTCTCTCCAATGCCGGTGTTCCCGGCACCACAGAAAACGCCTTCTCCGATGGGCAGGCGTTAGAGGTACACACCGTACAGGGCGTCGTGCAAACAGACTACCACCGTGCAGTCTTCTGGCCACGGTAAAACGCGATATCAGTCGTCCAGTCGCCTGTGTCATGTGTCTAGCGATTTTTCCTGTTGTCTGCCGCCTGTTTCTTCTGACCTGTAAGGCAATATACCGGTCATCTGCGGGTGTGGTTCCTCGTGGACGACCACTACTAAACCCCCGGATAGCCGTTCCTGTAGTTTGAAATTGTCTCCAAAGTCGTGAAACGATGCTGTGAGCAATTCCGAACTCTGCAGCCACACTGCGGCCTTCCTCCAACTTCCCAATGATTCAACCTCGGGTAAAAGCATCCAGATGTCGTTTAACAGATTGATTATTCGCCATTTCTCGCTAAGGCAGCAACTCGGTATGATTTTAACTGTTATACGGCATGCAATCTCTTTGCCAAAAATACTGATCTTACACCGACAACATGCTTTATACTACTCAGACACTCCCCCATTACGTCTACCTGCACATCTGCGCATGTGCTACCGTACATCACCTTACTTAATCTCCTGATTGGTCTTTCTGTCCGCTCTGCCTCTTTGTTCAGCTGATATGCTAATTTTTCGACTTTGTCCTTAATTTTTGCACACCAGTGTAGATAGAAATAAGGGGCTAAGTACTGGCTATTTGAGATTTTTTTTTTAACTCATGATACATAAAGCTTTTTCTAAATATGAATTTTGGCCTAAGACCACTAAGTTGATTTGTGTAACTTATTAGCGAAAAAAATACTCTGAAGTCCCTTTTGATCCTTATGTTATTTACTTCTATCCAACAAATATAAGTTTAATTATTCTTTTTTTTTATATTACTAAGTACATTTAAAATTAGGCAATAAAATCAACCCTAGTTTGGCATAAATTTTAAATAAAACTATCGATTATGAAGGCAATCGGATACAGGTCATTTTTCTTCAGGAAAAAAGAACAATTATTCTTGATTCTTTTATTTTAACCTCAATGTACCATGCCTTATCATTAATTTAGACACATTCCATTTGTTTTCAATATAATTCTCTTTTTAGGATAGATTAGTTAATTATCATTAATTTAAAAATGCTTTCTATTTATTTTTCCCATTTTATTATTTAATTATTTCTTCCCTTATTATTATTTTTTACTTATTTCTTTTTGCTGCTTCTCATATTCAAAGGCATCCATCCCAATAACATAGGTAGCCATGATATGCTTTGCCATAATCAAATCATCTAATCCATCTTACCTGCAGTTATAAATTCAAATCTAAATTACGAACTTTTAATGAAAACAAGGAAAAATTATACAGCAAATGCTTTCACTATTCAGCAAAATATTTATTGATACTTCATATACATATCTTATACCTAGCTAATGTCACATAAGTGCAAAGCATACTTCAGTAAATGAAAATAAAATAAGAAATACACTAATTTTTTTAGCCATTTTATGAATGTCAATTCTTTATGAAAAATATATATGCAGAAAGCATAAAATAAAATTTGTTGAATTTTTAATTGATGACTTTAGAAAACTGCTAAATATTTACACCCCACGTGTAACATGTATAAGAGCCAGTTTCTCTTAGAAAGTCCTCCACGAAGGCATCTCTCCCCTTAGGCAGATAGCCTTCGAGGCTTTGCCGTAATTAAATAACCTAACGCTAAATATTTACAACACGTTTTGAATGTTATAATTACTGCTCTTTGATACCAGAAAATTAATTAAGAATTACTAATATAATACGCATTGCTTTATGTTATAGTAGTTATTGTTATCAATCAGATACCATTATCAAATTGCCTGCTCATATATGAAAAAACGGAAAATACATCATTCATTATGATAAACTATTCAGTTGATATGATCAAATTATTCTGAAATATTTTTTTTAACTGAAGTGATGTCATAAAGTAAAGTTAAAATTGTGTATAGAAATTGCCAATGAAAGAGAAAAGTCATCTGGTGAAGAATTAAGTCGGCAGACTGCTTGGTTTTGGTTAAAGTCAACCAAGGACAATTCTGGGTACTATTCTGTTATTGAGACTGGATTCAGAAATGTGTGTGTATGCACATATATACTACATGGATAATATGAACACATACATGCATTCATTTCTGAATTTGGTCCCAATAACAGAAGAGTACCCAATATTCTTATTAACACTGTTTATTAATTAATGCCCTAAACAACCTATTATTTAAACATAACATTGTTTTTTAATTAATGCCCTAAATTATCAGTAAAATATTACCCTGAAAATATTTAAGCTATTATAATGCAAATGAAGCACATCTATATTACATCATATTGCTTCAATATTATATTTATTTAAAACTGAAAGTTCAAAAACATGTAAAGTATCAAAAGATTGTGAGACCATTTTACACTGCATCAGTATGTGCGAGATAACATAGCAAAAAAGACGGAAAAAGTCTTCAGCATTTTAAAGAAGAAAGCGCTTATCAATGGACTGTATGTGTAATTCATAGGTGTGGCTGATATATCAGTAAATGCTAATGAAAGCTTTTAAAATGGGATAATATACTGGAAAGCTCTTACTGACATAACATAATAGCACAGTGCATAATGTAGATGACTATGGATAATGAAGTGGAGTTCTTTATTTACCAGCAAATACCATGCCATAATTAAACCTTGTTATTACAGGATTATTAAGAGTGATAAAAAATGCCATGTGCAATGAATTATCACTGCGAGATGAGTAGTTCAGAGATAGCTAGAGTATTGAGTCCAAATGAATTAATAAGGAAAACTAACTTTAATGCACCAAAGTTGAGGGATATATCTTGGAACCAAAAGACAATAAAGAACTGTTCTAAGCATGGCAGCTTTGAAATACAAATGATGAAATAGAGGAAGTTTAAGAAAAAAATTGCATTCCTGATTAACATGACTAAGGAACATAACATTTTGATGGATCCTGATGAAAAAGTTCAAGCTGCAGTACTGATATCCATCTGTCACTTTCAAAAATAAATCCAAGAGCATCATGTGATAAGCTTTCTGAAGAAGATGATGAATTCAGTGAATTTCCTACAAATGCTGAGATAAGAGATGTCCTCTAAATGTTAAGATTATGAAGCATACAACATCACTCAAATAATTTCCAAAAGCATTGTGAATATAAACAACTCATGAATAAACTTTTGCATAATAATTGCAGTTCCACTATTCATGACTTTTTTCTCATAAAAATGATGTGAAACTAATTATATGTTTTTAATATACTTGCATTGAATTAAATGTAATGAAATCTACAGATAGTTTGAAGGATTATTTTGCTCATTGTTTAATGTTACCGAAACTGGTGCAAAAGCGTTAAGAATGGAATACTTCAACTCAAACACAATCGCCATGGCAAAATTACAAATCCACAAAATTTATCCACAAAAGTTACAAATCCACAAAATAATTTTTATTAATAAAAATGTTAGAAAAAGAAATTTTTATGCTGCCTAACTACAACAAGATTTTAAAGTTTTATATTCACTCAGCAATTTAACAGCAGTGTGCAATAACTTCCTGTTATTTAATACACAAAACTATAACAATTCTTAACAAATTTTAAAAAGTTTTGTACTACTAATAAGCAATATCAACACTGTACACAGCAATGATTTTTGACACCCCACACAGTTACAGTTAATGGAGATGTCAGGCCATTTCAGTGGAAAGACTACTACAAGCCTATCAGAATGCAGCCTTTGACTGAAACACTTGCCATATGCTTAACTTTATAATCCCAAACTAAATATTTACCTTATTATAACTGAATATCCTCAGATATACATTAAATCATTTAAATACTGCAATACTGTACTAAGACATGCTACATGCAAATGATAATTTTATTTACACAGCTATCAGTGCTTTAAAAATGTAAAATGTACCAAAACCAAAAGTATGCAGTCCACACTGCATAAAATTTTTCAATAATTAATCCCTAAAATGACTAATTCAGAAGTCAAACAACAAAATAACTCATTCCTAAAAAGACTACTTAGAGCGTGTGATATTTTTTTTTTTTTTTCATTCTTAATAAAAAGTATCAGTTTCATTCAAAATACATTTAGTAAAACCAGAGACAAATATAGTTTTAAAGATATATTTTGGGGAGGAGGGAAGGCTTTCTTGAAATATGAAACCTTTATGATTTCATTACATGTATACTCCCCAACACACTATTTAATTCAAAACATTTAAGACTGAAATCCTGTTGAACTAATTAAAAAAAAATTAAATTGATTTGTTTTCAACTGAGTATAAAACAGCCATTTCAGTTTCTTGACAGCAGGATCTCATTTAAATATTTGTACACATACCTTTTCTTAGAAAAATTCATTTTCCAGGACTTGCCCATTTTTTAAGAACATGTATTTGTCCCTTTTTTAGTGCTTCTTAATTTTATTTCTGAATAACTCATTTGGTTTATAAAGCAATCGGTCTTTTTAAAACCAAAATGTATTTCCACCTTGTGCCAAATTATGTTAACACAAAGCTGCTTTAAATTTTGTAAATTATTGGAATATTTACTTTCTTGAAAGAATTCAGAATTAATCTTGAATAAAATGTAAACAAATAGCCTCTTTTCTGGGATATCCTACTTTATCATTTCCACAAACATGGTTTGTCCGAGGAGAATATTCCTTTCTGAACCTGCTTCATTTTCAGATAGGGCTAGCACCTGAATTGGTACAACTGTACCAGGTAATAGAATTTAGAAGTGAGAGCAAAATTTTTAGAATATAGGAAAGCATCATATATCAAAATTTAGAAGCTTTAAAGTTGCACCAGGTGAAAAAGCCTAGCACTGACCCTGTCTTAAAAAATTTTTAATACAAATGGTTTTTTTTCTATTGCTAAGAATCCTGCTTTCTATTGCTAAGACACTGGAAAAATTCCACAGTATTTTTAGACAGCATTTCAAGATAATAGAATAAAAGAGAAACAAATCAAAAGTCATAAACTTAAAAGCATTTACCAAAGAAATGCTTAACACTCATGAATATACCAACATTCACTAAACAACTTTCCTCCTTTTTCCATGAAATTATGTTTAGTTAAACTTTCCAATAACTTACCACTATACATTATAACAGAACAGAAAGTTTAATACAAAATATTTACTCATTTTCACATTTTTACATGTAATATTCAATAGCCAAACTAATACACTGCTTACCTTTAAAGTACGAGACACCAAAACACCAGCAAGAACTGCAGTCCAAATAACTAGAAAACCCAAAGCTAAAGAAATGAAAGCAAGATGCCGGGAAGGAGTGTTTTGTATCTGAGCTGTCATGTTGAATCTGAAACGAGAATTATGAGTATTTAGAAAGATGTCAAATTATTTTTGACATAATAATGGAAAATTAATGTACAAAGCTTACCAACAATCAGTATGAAAACCCCATTTACTATTCAAAAACTAACTACACTAACAATTCCTTTTCATGCAATATATACTTAAATGATGATATTAGCAGATTTTTGTAATTAAAATATGCTCTGAAACAAAATCTAAAAGTGAGAAATATACTGCTTATAGATAAAAAATAGTCATTTATAATTACATACGATGTATGACAAAGGTTATGCATAACATAATTACCTTAAAAATTCTGAGTGATATCCAAATATTTTCTATGCGAACAGGATCATAAATGACTGCAGCAATGTAAAGTGCAACATCAGTTTCTCCAAGGTATTTCTAAAAAAATTTACAGATCATCAGAATTTTAAGATATTTTAAGAAACATTATGAATTTACTCAGTGAATGTTAAATATACGATGTGCATTACTGACACAAATAAACTGCAAATGGTAGCAATAACGGCACACTTTCAAAATGCATGTTTAATGATATTACTCAACTTGCACCATGCATTAAAATTTAAATAAAATTATTTTGCATGCATTAAGTGATTAAAATCAAGCCAAAAAATCAAATGTAATTTTAATTTCTTGGTAAAAGACAAAAACTGAAATATTTCCAAAAACCGCTATAAATATTTTTAAAAAATGTACAGATGCAAATTCAATGTTTTGGAAGAAACTGTTTTTGTATTGGTTTCTTTGAGTTCCAATTAAAGTCATGTATTTATAAAATGAAAAACAATCATTTTTTGGTTTCAGTAATTAGATGCTGTCAGACAAACCTATACACGTTTTACGAAGAGTTCGATCGCAGACGCGTAGTTGCGATCTGAATAAATCTGAATTTAAAAAATGTTGTTAAGTTAACAATTCAGCAATTTTGTTTCTCATCTAATAATGAAATGTTATTTAAAACGCTTAAAAGTGGCATATTAAGATAAAACAAATATTCAGTGCAGAAAACTCACCGTTCTATTTATGAACAAGTCCAAAACTAATCCTCACTTAACTTGTAATCCAATTCTGACAACATGAAGAGCTTTTAAATTCGGTATACAACCACGGGCAAACTTGGAAAGCATATGAGAACAATGAGCGATAGCTGATATGAAGATCAGCGGCACAACAGCTGCACGACGAGGTTGAGCGGAAGCAGGGCAGAGAGCGTGAAGCATGAAAGGAACATGTAACGCTTCAGTTCGTTCTTTTTATGCAGTGGGTGAGCGAACGTCCTGCCGATAGTCCTTGCGCGAAACATAGTCTCGTAGGGTTACTCCAAAAAGTAAAACCGCCAAGAAACCGGCGCCTACAGCCGAGATAAAAAAAAGGGAGCCTTCCTTCCCCCTTCTTTTAAGGGGTTGCCAGCTGCATGGACGAAACACAATGCCTCAAATTTAAATATCAATCACAAGTCTTTATTGCTTACTCGAGAGGGAGGGGAACGAATAAATAAAGCGTAAGATTTAAAAACTTAATAAAATAGCTAATGCATCTGGAAGGTGAAAATGAAGAAGAAAGTTTTCTGTACGTAATTTAACGAACAGTAATTCCTTTAACTGACGGTTACAAAATTTACCTGAGAGTACCTTGTTTCGTGCAAGGAAATGATGAATATAATCCACTAAAAATGTATAGCTAGTCTCAGTTACGAGGTTTACTTTTGGGGGGGGGGAAGAGCTTATAAATATGAATAAAAAATTAGCTATATCTTTAAAAAAATCTCAGTATACTTTAAAATATCATTATTCCAAAATTCATTACTCATACCATTATTTCAAAATTCGTAAAAAAATATGAAGAATTTCATTAGTTAAAAAATACAGGCTTACATACTTTGGTAGGACTTGTAATGTACACACCGGAATAACTACGAATAACAGGAAGAATGATCTGAATTAAAGCAAAGCTAAGGGAGAGATTCCTTCGTGGAGGAATTTTTAAGAGACAGTGGCTCGTATCCACGTTCCACAGAATAGCAATCTAAAACTAGTCTTTTATGGTAAGCAAGGAAAAATATGTCTAATGTGATGCAATAAAATACATTATTAATTATTTCTCAGCCCACCAAGAGCCTAACTTTTATTTATTTAAATGCTGAATAAAAAGCAAAATTTTCAAAAAATTTAAACTTGGTATTAGACAAAAGGAAAAGCACTTCGACTATTTCCGATGTAACTGTTACAGGCCGTTCAAAAGCAATGTAATAAGCTATGTGTAGTCATATTACTCGATTCCCTTCGAATTTTTTTTTGTGGAGACCTTTTTTTTCCGGACTTTAATCTTATGTTACTAGCTTATTACTAATGGACATTATGAACTCGGGGAAAAGGGTTTGGCCGGGAACCCTTTCCACGGTCTGATCAAGAACCAAGGCGTTTTGTTACGGAGTATCGCAAAATAATTTTAAAATGAGCATATCTTTAGAATTTCCGATACACAGCTCCTCGCGCTGGAGATAAAAAGGTCCCCCCCCCGTTAGAGTGTTGCCATTGCTCGCTTTGAAATCCTTGAGTTTGTTAATCAAAAATTGTTAAAGTTTTACAAAATATGAAATCGATAATAAAACAAATTTCAAATTTGGTCTTCCACATGCCCATATTCGTAGGAGGATTACGTCATTCAAAATTCGATGGTTCTATGTACCGTTGTTTTATCACAATGCGAAAAATATACATACATTTATGCAGATTTTTCATTATTTAATTTCTTCAAATATAATGCAGGACTCTAACATTTGGTGGCAACAGTTTGAAAAGTGGAACGGACTTTTACAGTGATTCAACGTGAAATCGCAAAACGAAAACAATAGTCCTTCAGGGACAAAGCCTTTTTGGACTAATAAAAAAAAGGGGGGACAGTTCTATATCTCCTGTTCTACTGGGCCGATTGACGAAATTCAACTTGCGTTTTTCATGTCTTGAAAGCGCTACTTAGGATATGTATTAAATTCATAAATAGCATCGTTCTAATATAGGTATTTTGACACAAAATCGGACTTTTTCTGACATGGCATGCCAATTTTTTTCCATATCTCGATTCTACGACTCAAATTTTGCCAAACCGCTAAGTTTTGTAAAAACCACACGCGTAGATTTTAAAAAATTAACTCTGAAAATTTTAGCTCCTCAATGTTAATTGAGTTTGGTATATATTTATTAATTTCTCTTTTTTTATTAAGCATATTTGATTCTTCCTTTCACATTTCGAAATTCAGGTTCATTCCATATAAAATTCACCCATTTTTATGATTTATTTTTAAAATTTGTATTTTTAAATAATTTTTATAATTTTTTCAAAAAGCATTTTAAATTATAATCTATAAAATTTTTACCATCATCTTAAAAAAGACGTATTTCTAAGCATACCTGCAAAAAACTACAATTTTTTTATTCAAAATTTCTGAAGATATACGTGAATTTATATATTGGCGCGTTTTGAAATTTAGCATATTGGTTGAAAGCGATAAAACACCATATGTGGCTTAAGCACTTTGCTAAAATTATTTGGAAGTAGAAACGATGTGACTTTTTTTCCGCTCATGCACAATGTAAAAAGATAGGAACGAGGTGCCTTCTTTTCCGCTCCGGCATAATGGAAGGAAAAGGAAAATTGGTTGCCATATATTAAGAAGTTCGCCAAGGGAATTATTCTTGGCCAAGAAGAATTTAGTTTGCATTTTCCTCTATATAAAATTGAATGCAAAGAAGTTAGATGTTTAAACGACCCCGAGCAGGATTATCCTCTCATTTTCACCTTCCCCCGTGAAAAAAGGGGTTGTAAATTTACGACTTGACCGCATGTAGGCAGCAGAAGAAGAGTTAGCAACCGGCACGCGACTGGCGTGAATGGTTGTTCATGGTCTGAGTTAAGAGAATTATCAAAAGAGTTATGTTACTGTTCCTTTAAATAGTGATACTGAAACAAGTTTGACAGTGGAGTTTGCTGATGTTCTTTTAAAGTTATTTAATTTAAAGCTTTGTTTACATAAGAATGAATAAATACTTAAAAAAGTAGATTTTTGCAGAGAACATATACTACTTGTGGATAATAATTCGGAATTAGCATCTGCACTAAGTGTGCTTTTGAAACCTCTAGTTTAAGCTTGAAATTTCTTATTAATGCGTAGCTACAAATACTTACATAACTATCCGATATTTTTTTCAAAATTAACAAATGCAGTTTAGTGTACTGAACAGTTTTATTTTAGGTAATGCAGAACAGATTCATAACTGTCTTTAGAGAGTCTAACTAATCTGATTCTATGTTCAGCAAGCTAAATTTTTTGGAATCATGTACAGAAAAAAGAACGAAAAGGAAAGGAAATAAATATTCGGGACACTATAAATTTTTGCCAGAAAAATGAACTTTGAGTGATACACGAAGTCAAAGAGACAATAATAACCCACTTAAAATGCCTCCAAGGTTCCTTTAAACATAAGATGCCCTAACATGAAATGAGAAAGGCAGGTGGATTGCAAATCTTTTTACTGAAGATTTCTTTAAAGCACTCTCAACGTTATCATGCTCTGAAAAAAAAAAAAAAAAAAAAAAAAAAAAGCATAATTTTTTGACTTTATTCATTGCAAATTATTTATTTTATGGTATTAAAATATTAGCATTGTAAGATATATTGCAAAATTATTGGAGAGAGCTAGGGAAGCCGTAGGTTCTGAATAGAGTTTTATTAAAGGGTACACGAAAGAACCGCTCGCCTAGGGGAGTAATTGGTAGGACTCCCCTTGGAGCGCTGGCGAAGGGCTTTTGCATGGATATTTTCGCGGTTTTTCCTATTGGTGATGTAAATATTTTCCTTAAAAATTCTTCACAAAGGCATCCTTGCCGTTGGGTGTTAGTGTACTTTGCTGTAATCAAATAACACAGACTTCATTTCCCAGTCTGATGTAAAAATGCTATGCTAATATTAAGATATCAAATTCATATTAAGCATATTTCATACTACTCATACATTTCAGAAGAAGAAACTGTAAAACTGCTTGTTAAGAGATTTGAAAACTATTTCACTTTCTTTTCCCTCTACCAGATGTTTCTTGTCGGGACAAGAAGATCTTTGCCACGCATTTTGTCCAGCAGCCATTCCGCCCAAATTACGCCCCAATTTTCTTTGTCCTCTACCAAGAACAGAGATAATTAATTACCTATCATAATTGCTAGCTTCTTCCCTTATTGATCTTTTAAGAGAAGAATTGAGAAGTAGTCGATTTTATGAGTACTTAAACTGTTAACGGGCCCAGACTCCTGTCTAAACTGGGCAATAAACGGTGGAAAACATTTTACTTTCTTTCAATTCAAAGCCCTGCTTGATGATTACTGAAAATCATCAGGTTCTCACATTTTAAATAATACAGTTTTATTACATACAATTTTAATGTATTGATTATTAAAAAAAAAAAAAGAAATCGTACTAAATACAAAAAAATATCTAACTGAAACGAGATTAAGCGAAACGTTTCAACTAATGACTCTGAAGTTATTATTATCTAAACATCTCATACGCATGAATTAATCTATTAAAATTGGCCTGGAGTAAAACTTTATATGGAGCCCCCTCTCTTTCGCTGCACCAATATTTGTTTTCAGTGCAGCAAATATTACGAATGCAAACTGCATAAAGTATTTCTAGAAATAATCTAAGAATTCAATTAATTTTTCCTTTAATGATATTTAAAGAACAATTACACACCACCCTTTTTTGTAAGGTTTCCCTTTCAGTTTATTTAGAGTTGCATAAGTTGCGAAAAACTCAGAGAGTACTAACAAAACTAGGGAACAACTGCTTTTTATTTATCATTTCCTAGGTCAAATAGTAGTTAGAGGAATGCTATTTATCAGCCACTGTTTGAATATGTCCTCTGTTAAATATGGCTTCACTGCACGTTCTTCCAAACAGTCCTAGAAGTTATCCATTACTTGTTGTAACGTATCGCCAGAGATATTGCTGAGGCAGTTACTGATGCTGAATGTGGATAATTCCAGCAACACAGAATGACCGGACGCTCAGCCAAAGTATTCAGACTTTTTTGCAAGAGTTATTAATTCATTATTGTTTGAGTAATACCAGCTATAACTCAACTCTGTTTAAGTTTTTAGGTTTTGAAAATAAGCTCTATCGTTTTTGTAAATACATTGCTGCTAAATTTTGTAAATATTTGCAATTAAAGTGTTTTTTCATATTAAGTCCATAGTTATCTTCGAATGTTTTA